CGTCATATTGACGGCACAATCGAAATACATCGGGTGAAAGGACAGCGTTTCACGTGAATGCGCGTGCAGACAGGGAGCGGGGGAAAGTGTTGGTTGATCCGCCCTCCTCTGTCGAGACGTTTGGCCAACGTGCAAGAGTGGGTCTAAACAACCATTGCTACAGTCTACAATAAATAATAACCATTGCTACAGTCTACATCATAGACTGCCAATACGCTCACCAGCTTAAAAAAACAGGCTACAGTCTACATTATAGACTGCCAGTACACTCACCGAGGTTAAGAACCAGGCTACAGTCTACATTATAGACTGCCAGTACACTCACCGAGGTGAAGAACCAGGCTATAGTCTACATTATAGACTGCCAGTACGCTCACCGAGGTGAAGAACCAGGCTACAGTCTACATTATAGACTGCCAGTACACTCACAAAACTTAAGAACCAGGCTACAGTCTACATTATAGATTGCCAGTATACTCACTCCGATTAAGAACCAGGCTACAGTCGACATCAGTGGTTTTTAGTTTTTTTTAATTATTTTTATTCACTTTGTTCTTATTTTTATATCTACGTGACTTTACCGAAAGAACCAAGTAATATCTAAACAGCCCCCAGAAGGCCTCTCATTAGGAACTCCCTCTTGATGAGAGACCCTTACGCCAGCAGTGGCACGGGAAAGCAATCTTTACCTTTATGTTATTTAATAATATTTCACCGGGCAACAGCAGTCAAGGCGTTCGGTCATGCCCCTTGTTTTTTGCAGCGCCAGCTAAGGCCCATTGAGCATTAACAGATTATAAATATCGCGCCACAAAAAGCCTGCCGATAATAAATGAATAACTATTGACCCTGACTAAATTATACACGCTCACTGACTCGGGCGACCAAGCACAAATAAGCGGATGGAATTGTCTCCGCAGAAAGTTCTGTCTTTCGCTCTCTATCCCTCTCTCTCTCTCGACATCTCTCTTCGTTGCCAGCATGTTAACTCATCTGTATCTGTCCAGTGACAGAAGCGATCCGCGTGTTTTTCCCCGCTGCGTCCCACGAACAGGAACCGCCCTTCATACTCGCATCAACGTTATGTGCAAGCCCCCAGGTGCGATGAATTACTCAAAAGGATCGTGCACTACTTGGGTCTGTGGCCCCAATATATATAAATATCCGTGTATTTGGAGACCGTTGCCCTTACTGGGTATAGGTATTCGCGGTCGTGCCGTGTAACTGCTCTCCGACGTGTTTCCAGGTTGCGGCGACCCACGTATTCTGCGGAGATGAAGTCCGACGTTTCGTTGCACGTGCCAGCAGCTGCCTGCGGCGCTCTGCAATCGAGGGGCAAACGTGAGCCGCTCCGTCCGGTTCTCAGAGAAAGCTCCCAAGGACGTGGAGAGAAACGTCTGGGCCATCGTTAACTGAACAATGCGCGGTAGAAAACGCATCGGAGAGCACGAGGTTTTTTTTGGTTGGCTTTCCAAACCCATCTCTTTGAAGTGCCGACATGGAGCGTTTGGGGTGGGGGGAGAGGTAGTAGTAGTAGTGTAGTTTGTATCTTTACTGTCGGGCTTCAATGCAGAAGAACCGACACACAATGGCTGTCTTGTGCACACGTATTGAAAGGGGGTTGTATCGGATGACTTATACCCGCACGGTCTTTTCAAAATGTTTGAGGGCATGCATTTAAACATCCTGTTGAGTCTCAATTGTGCACGTCAACATTGTCTGGCTCGAAGTTTTTTTGCTGAGATTTATCGGGTTGCAGTCAAAATGCCTTTACGGATCAGAGATAATTGCCTGGTAACGATACAAAAATGTCAATAGCATTACACTACTGATGCTGATCACGCAACATTTACGATAACTATCGACAACATAGCACCTATTATTGAATATGAACGACGCTAAGAACAGCCTACGCCACAATGCGAATTAAGAGGCCCTTTGTCAATGTCAATGCTGCGGATTGAAGTTCCTTCTCCTCCCCACGCCGTCTCATCAACGTTGTTCGGTGAGGATGAGCATTGGTGAAAGTTCACTTGCTGGGGGATAGCAGGGCCAGTTCAGATATCACTCCCCGCTGATGTTTAGTCGTGGCCGAGAATCCCAAAAGTATGGTGGCCGTGTGTGTGATATCGTACGGGGAGCACTGTCACCGCCCCACCGGAATTGTTGATCTCACGAGGACCCATCATCGTAAAGAGAGCGTCTTTACCTGCTGCACCTTGCAGCCCTGCCAGCATGGATTCAAGCAAGTCTGATTCTATTTTGATTTAAAGCTTTCGTGACTGCAGTCATTCATATTCTTAGCTCTTTCGGTAAAGTCGCGTTAAAGGGAAACAATAAAATAATAAAATAGATATAAAACAATAAAAATTCTCACGACGTTTCGACCATAATACATACGGTCATCGTCAGGTGTGAAAAGCATTGCTTTAACGTGACTTTACCGAAAGAGCTAAGAATAAGTCTGATTCTGTTGACGAGACCATGCGTGTCGATCAAAACCGGTCCAGAGGTTCGCTGCTGAAATTGTGCACCACTCCCAGAAGGCTGTGGCGCTTGGGGTCGATGGGATGTACAAACAAATATTTTTTTGTAAGTGGAGAGACGGATATATGAAGGGGACGAGCGAGAAAAACCTCCGTTTTGTATTTGTTTCAAAAGTGTACCCGGTCTTCCTCTACTTTAGTCCTCGCTCTCGCTCCGGCTTTCCACGCTCACACCAACTACCCATCCACGATGCACCGCAGCACAACTCTTTATTGCCAAACACGGGAGAGGTGAGGGCGCGGTGGGATGCTCGGCCCACTCGACGTTGGCAGTCTCTGGACCTACACGGAGCTCATATGGGATGGCTGGCGCATGGACGACGCCTCCATGGCTAGATTCATCCTTGCCTCGACCGCGTCATCCCCGGCGATCACGAACCTCCTCGGTCGCTCATACCATCGTTACTTTTCCATTGAACTTCATTAATTCGTTGATTCATCCCGTCATGTCGAGGACTCGGTCCGCCCGACTCACTGGTTCGTCTCGTCCACGTCGTGTTCAACGGCCACACTGCAGTCACACACCACTTTTAAAACTAAATGAGAAACTTTTTTTTGTTACCAGGTAAAGCCCACTGAGCTATGTGGCTCTTTTTCAGAAGCGACCTGGGCACAAATTATACCGCAACGAAGTGGCTTATCACGTGGAAATGTATAGCAGTCAAATACTTTAAACGCGTGATGTTGATTGTAAATGTGGAGATAAAACCCGAATGATCCGGAGAAAAATCGAAGCGACCACGGCGAGAGAGACACGAAAATTCCAATTTACAGCAGGCGTCAGGGTCGGGATTGAACCCACGACCTCCTGTATACCTAGCGAGGTAGTTAACATCTCGTCACCTGTTTCGCGTCTCTCCTCACACTTTGGAATTCCATCCCATTGTCCCCCCCACCCTGCGCAAAGTTTTCTTGCAACTCTGCTCAATTCAATAAACGTATGAACTCTTCTTACACGTTCTACATTCAAGTGTGATGTTGTTTGGTGGCCGCTTGGGGTTTGTGGCCTTTGCGGGGCCGTGCACAGCAACCGCGGTTTAAAAAAACACAAAACAACAACACAAAACCCCTCCACAAATGTCGCCCCGCGTTCTCCACCAGAGCGCACCGCGTGGCCTCCTCGCCTCTTCCCCCAGCGAGAGATTCCGAGCAGCAGGGAAGGGGGCACGAGGGAGGGAAGCTGTGGGCAGGGGCAGGGAGGGGGGCAGCGGGGGAGGATGAGGATGGGGGGGGGAGAGGGGGGCGGAGGGGGGGTGGGTGAGGGGGACCCCCAATTTGTCCCGTTCGCTGACCCTACAAGCCCGAGGATTGACATTGTGTTGGAGCGGGCGGGGCTGCTGTGGGGTTAAAAAAAAAAGTGGGGGGTGAGGGGCGAAGGGAGGGAGGAGGGGCAAAGCGAGGGTCCCAGGGCTGCATTTGGATGAGGAGGGGGTGGTGGAGAAGCGGGATGAGAAGGAGGGTGGAGTGGTGGTGGTGGTGGGGGGAGAATGTGTGACTGTGTGCGCGTGTGTGACTGAGCGCTGGGTGTGTGTGGGTGCGTGCGCGCAATGGACTGGCTGGTTGGGTGGAGGGGCCCTGGTGGGTGGATTGACGAGGAGGCAGGGAGGGGGTTATAATCGCATCTCTGGCTGCCAGGCGCTGTTCGCAGTGATCGGACACCGACTGCGCGCGACACGTGGAGGTGGTGGTGGTGAGCGTGGTGGTGGTGGTGGTGAGCGTGGTGGTGGTGGTGGTGAGCGTGGTGGTGGTGAGGGTGGTGATGGTGGTGGGCATGAGGAGGAGCACCGGGGGGTGAGTGCGTGGGAACTTTCGGATGAAGAACCGACGCGGGACTTCTATTCTACTTCTTCTATCTTCTCCAGATTACCGAGCGAGAGCGATTACGCGCAACGCCTCTTTTAAACTGCACCAGCCACACGCGAGAGTATCGTTGTTTTTTACGAATACCAAAACCCTAATCGCCGAGAGACCGCAGAATCCCAGTGAACACGGACCGAGAGGATTCCTTCCTCGCTGTCGCCGCTGCCGCTGCTGTTCAGGTCGGAAGTTTAACTCGAGTAAAGTTTGAACTCGGCTTGAAGTTTGTGCCGGCGTTGGCAGGAGGAGGAGAGGAGGGGGGGGGGTAGGCCGAGCCCCCAGGCAGGAGAGACACTTTGCCAGCGTTTGACTTCTGGAGACGCGCGCGGCACCGAGGGGAGCCTTGGAAGACGAACTGCGCTCGCGAACCCGGCAAACAACTTTGCGTCCACATGACAGCAAACCGCCTCGGACTACTGCAGAGCCCATCGGGAGGGGGGCGACGACAAGCCACGGGGCCCGAGGTGGTACGCTCCAGGTAGGGAAGCCTTTAGGGGCGTTCTGGGACTTTTGCTCGTTTCGACTCCCTGCCCGGCACCCCCCCCCCTGTCCCCTGTCCCCTGCGTGGGGGTTCCGCCTCTGCCTCCATGGTTCCAGCGGGGTGAACCCGAATCCCGAGCGGAGGCGAGTCGACGATCACCGGCGACCCAACACAGCAGCAGGTCCCCGGCCCGTGTCCTCGCCGGCGGCACACGCGGGAGTCGTAGGGAGGAGGAGGAGGAGGAGGGAGGAAAGGAATGGCGCAACATCGGACAGCCGAGCAACAGCCATTGCGGCGACTGCTGCCCTGCCTGCTGCTGCTCCTGCTGCAAGCGGCGCGTTGCGTGCGCGCCAGCGCGGAGTACTGCCACGGGTGGCTGGACCCAAGCGGGACCTGGCACGACGGCTTCCCGTGCCCCGAACGATTCGACACGGCCGAGGCGACCATCTGCTGCGGCTCGTGCTCGCTGCGCTACTGCTGCACGGCGCCAGAGGCGAGGCTGGACCAGGGGCAGTGCCGGAACGACCGCACGGAGCCGCCGGGGGGACAGGGCAAGGAGGGCGACGCGCCACCCGGAGCCTCTGCGCGTACGAGCCAGTGACACGCACGCGCGCACACGCGCGCACACACACGCACACACACGCGCACACACACGCGTACACGCACACACACGCGCGGACACACGCACGCACACACACGCACACACACGCACACACACGCGTACACACGCACACACACACGCGCGCACACACACGCACACACACGCACACACACGCGCGGACACACGCACACACACACGCGCACACACGCGCGTACACACGCACACACACGCGCACACACACACACGCGTACATACACACACGCGCACACACACGCGCACACACACGCGCGCGCACACGCGCGCACACACACACACATACGCATACACACACACACGCGCGCGCACACACGCGCGCACACGCGCACGCAAAGACAAAGATCCCCCCTGTACGGCCTCAACAAACTGTTGGGGCAAGTGGTGTTAGCGATCAACAATGAAGGCCGCCACGGCACACGAGTGGCCGGGTGCCCAGCACCACGCCCGGCCGCCTTTGTATCACCAGTGCCGATGTTTTTCACACCGCACCGGGTACTCGTGTGAGGCTGGGTCGACCTTGGGCAGAAGCGGTTCAAATACTAGCCACGGTGACTGGCCGTGAGCCGGAATCGAACTCGGGTGACCGGGTTCGTAGTGTGCTGACTGCTGGACCACAGCTCCACACACACACACAGAGTTGGGCACTGAGTTTTGCATGCCTACGCTCACGCAGGACTACTACCTCGATACATACAACACCCGGGCAGGACTACTACCTCGATACATACAACACCCGGGCAGGCAGCTCGGCACAGTTGCACGGATGCATCAATCAAGCCGGTGTCATCCATTCTCTGAACAGATGCGCGCGCGCGCACACACACGCACAAGTCACTCGCCGTACTCCACAACACATGTTCGGGTAATCTTGACATTTCAAGTCCTAGGAACGACATTGAGCGAGTTCATTGTGCTCATAGTGTGGTTCTTTAACATAACCATTGACCGGTTAAAACTTCCGGAGAAAAGTACCAGAACTTCTACGCATGCCAAATCTCGACACAACCGAGTTGGAACGCGCTCGTGTGACTCAGGGATTCGTTTAATTCTCCCGATGCATTCTCGGGTTGTAACCGTGTAATCTCCGGCAATGACGTCCGACGTTTCGCTCCGCGTGCCGGAATCTTTTTGACAATGGTTCAGTATTTAAATTAGTTTTTAAAAAAGCTCTCCTTGGGCAGGTTAATGAAACAACACGCGCTTACAAATTAAAACCCCTCTACGCATTGGGGATTTAGTGATAAGGAGCGGCGCTGTAATCGTGGCGAATGAGAAGTTTGATGAACCGATATCAACTTGGAATAGGATGCGGGGGGTGGGGGGGGGGCTATGGCTGGTGGAGTCGATGATGCCTTGTGAGCTTTACTGGAGCATACGCCAAGTTATTAATGAGACGAGTCTTGTACAGCCACAGTCCCTGCTTGCGGGGTATCTATTGAAACGTTTCTGCGGACGAGTCGAGCGATCACTGTCGACCGCTTTGCCAATCCACTGTTGCTGGATGAAGGATCTCCCAGCCACGTGTTTGTCGTGCAAGGCTTGGTTTTCAACGAGGGCTGAACGATTAATCGATTTCAAATCGCAATTTGAAACAATTCAATTAGCAAATCGCAAAGGCTGCGATTTCTTTGGCGATTTGAAAAGTCCTATTACTTTCCTATTGGAATTGTTTCATTCTTTTTATTATTATAACTTTATTTATTTAACTTAACAATTGTTCTACGTTTGATTGTTCTATTTCAATTATAACAATTTAATAAATACACGTTGCAAGCAATTAATATATTTTTAAGTTCCCATCCATGCATTAGAATATATAGAGCTGTTCATATTTTGATTGTATCACGTAGTAATGCTCCATCACATGTTTTAAATCTATTACACATTGAATATTTAACTGAAGCTTGCCTTTAAAAAAATCTATAATCGCAAATCAAATCGCAATCGCAATATCTGTCCGAAAAATCGCATATTAGATATTTTCCCCAAAAAATTAGGTGAATGTTGTTATATGCAAAAGCGACCATTGCAACTTTATCGACATCATCATCTTCTTCTTCTTCTTCACTTTACATGACGACTCCAGCAGTCAGACACCTGTCCCATCAACAACACAGTCGTGAGCACACTTACTACTACACACTACTACATACACACTTGCTACAACATACACACTTACTACACACTAACTACACTACACACTTACTACTATACACTTACTACAACATACACACTTACTACACACTAACTACACTACTACATACACACTACACACTTACTACTACATATACACTTACTACACACTAACTACACTACTACATACACACTACACACTTACTATACAGTACATACCTACTGCTACACACTACACACTACTACACACTTACTACTACACACTTACTACACAGTACACACTTACTACTACACACTTACTACTACATACACACTTACTACTACTACACACTTACTACTATATACACATTTACTTACTACACACTACACACCTACCATTACACACTTACTACTACATACACGCTTACTACACACTAACTACACTACTACACACACACTACTACATACACACTACACACTTACTACTACACACTTACTACTACTACACACTTACTACTACATACACACTTACTACACACTAACTACACTACTACATACACACTACACACTTACTACACACTACACACTTACTACTACACGCACTACACACGACAACAACCACCATTCGCTACTAAGTGGCGGTGACATCATCATGACGCTTGTGCCAGGCTATGTGCACGTTGAGGCACGTGAAATATCGAACACCCGCTGGCACGAGGTCACGGGGCAGACCTAGGTGCCACAGATCGACTGACTGAGATGACTGGCTGATGCACCACCTGTGCCCCCTACTGTGCCAATCTGCTGTGCTTTAGCCACCCGGCGCTCCGCTCGTTGTTGTGAGCGTCGCTCCTCCGCCCTCCGTTGTTGTTGGAGGGCGACTGCCTCCAACTGCCCAGTAGCGTCCTTCACGAGCCTCCTCCACAGAGGCCGATCTTGACACCGCTGGTACCAGTCATCGGCAAGTTCATTCAGCTCCATATCCTCCTGTACCACATCACTCCATCTCTTCTCTAGCCCGTGCCGCGCCCATTTAGCCCCCTTGATCTGGCCAAAGAAAAGCTGTTTCGGCATGCGGTGGCTGGGCATGCGGGCTACATGACCCAGCCATCGCAGCCTTGCCCGCCGGAGGAGCTCACCGATGGGACCTTGCCCAGATCTTTCAATGATGTATGAGCTCCTAACAACTATACAGCCTGGTTAAACCCAGGATTGATTGTCGGCAGGCCAGCCTAAATGTTTATAACCGGTGAAGATGTTCCATTAGGGGGGTCCACGTTTCACAAGCATAGAGAAGGGAGGGAAATGACGGTGGCCGAGAAGACCTGAAGCTTCGTGCAGGAGCGACAGACCAGGTAGCTTCCACACAGCATTACGCAACCAATGAAAAGATAATGCCGCTCGACTGATTCGGAGTGAGACCTCTACTGTCAAACCGGAGCCGGTCATGAGCACACTGCTCAGGTATGGGAAACTCTCTACTCTCTCCACAACTGCACTCTCACCAATTGGGAGTTGTGGGGGTGGAGTGTCCAATACCCAGCCAGGTGCTTAGTTTTGGTGGGGCTGATTGTAAGGCCCCACCTCTTAGTGGCAAGCTCCAGGTTCAGCAGCAGCGCCTCCAACTCCACCTCTGAGTGAGCAGCAATTACCAGATCATCGGCATACATAACATGGTTGAGCAATAGGGAGCCATTCCTTGACCACACCAAGGCATCGATCAGCCTCCCATTGTGTCTGTATTAGATTGAAATTCCTCCGGTACAGCTATTGAAGGCTTCACGAACTACGTGGTCGAAATATATGTCAAATAATGTGGCAGCCAGAGGACATCCCTGTCGCACCCCAAGGTGAACAGGGAATGCCTCCGACTCCCGGCCACGTAGTTTACCCGGGCCCGCTCACCATCATGAAGATCCTTAATGATCGTGAGCAGAGGGTCAGGGACTCCGAAAGCATGAAGAACAACCCAGAGCCTAGGCCTACTGATGGTATCATAGGCCTTGACCAGGTCAATAAATCAGAGATGTCGGTCTTGTTGGAATTCCCTACACCTCTGCTGTGGCAGACGGAATGAAAATATTGCATCTATGCAGGACCGCCCTTTCCTGAAACCGCATTGGGGCTCCGCAAACCTCTCCTCAGCGTGCCTGGTAAGGCAATTTTGATTAATCATTGCCAGGACCTTTCCTGGCACACTGAGGAGTGAGATGCTCCTGTAGTTGTTACAGTCTGCAGTCCCCCTTCTTAAAGAAGGGAACCACCAGGGCATCCTTCCAATCCTGCGGAACCCGTCCAGTGATCCAGACTGTTGTTATGATGTCATATAGGGCAGTCTGTGCACAAACGCCACCCTCCCTCAGCATTTTGCTTGGGAGATCATCTCTGCCCGGTTCCTTTCCTGGTCTCAGACTCCAGATCACCTTCAGTACGTCCTAAACAGATGGCACCTCAGCCAGCCACTCACAGGGGGTGACTTCTTCCAATATTTGAAGCACCGCAGTCTCAGCAGGGTCATCCCCATTTTGTCCCACGATGTTTTCCAGGCTGAGGGATTTCCCCTCCCCCAGGACCTCACAGAAATGCTCAGCAAATCCTCAAACCTGTTCCGGAGGTCAGAGATTGGATCACTTTTCTTTTCCTTAATGATGGTAATAGGTGTGGCACTGCAGGTTACTTTTTTGATCGAGTTAAAGAGCGATGTGTAATGGCAGGCCATTGAGGCAGACTCCATCTCCTCAGCAACCCACGACCACAACCCATCCTTGCAGCACCTCACGGCTCTCCGAACCTCCGAGCGAAGGCTGCAGTAAGCCTCTTTCTCTGACGTGGGATGCT